GGAGCGGCCACTGCACTCCAGTCTGGGCGACAGAGTGAGACTCCAACTCAAAAAAAAAAACAACACTTTGTCTCTACCAAAAAAAAAAGAGAAAATCAAAAAATTATCCAGTATAGGGGCACACTCCTGTAGTTCCCACCACTGGCCACTTAGGAGGCTGAGATGGAAGGATTACCCTAAGACCAGGATGTCAAGGTTGTAGTGAGCTGTCATTATGCTACTGAACTCGAGTCTGGGTGACAGAATAAGACCCTGATACAAAAAATAAATAAATAAAGAGACCGAGACAGCAAAATATAAACATCCAAGGAACTGCAGTGAAGGCACTGTCTGTCACTACTAACCTGAATAGGACTTGGATAGCCTAGGAAGGACACAGGCCTGTTACAGCAAAGTCTGGAGAAAGGAGAGCCTAATATAACATTTCCAAAAAGAAAATCACATATTACCAATGAATAGACATCTAATCTCGTGTGCTACCTGAGGGGCAAGTTTCTTGCTAACACCACAAGAGTCTCTGGTCCAATGAGTGGAGTTTGATAGCAATCCTTGTTACAAGAATAATGTTTAAAAAGAGAGAGAGAGAAATAAGGCGACAAATCTTTTATTTTGAGTCAGAGTCTCAGTCTGTTGCTCAGGCTGGAATGCAGTGGAATGCTCACAGCCACTGCAGCCTCGACCTGCTTGGCTCAGGTGATCCTTTCACCTCAGCCTTCCAAGTAGCTGGAACTACAGGTATGCACCACCATGCCCAGCTAATTTTTTGACTTATTGTAGAGACAATGTCTTGCCATGTTGCCCAGGCTAGTCTCGAACCCCTGGGCTCAGGCAATCCTCTCACCTCCGCCTCCCAAGGTGCTGGGACTACAGGTGTAATCCACCATACCCAGCCAAATTAATTTCACAAATGCATAAAAGATCTGAGCAGATATTTGTCCAAAGAAGATACTCAAATGGTAATTAGCACAAGAAAAGATGCTCAACATCACTAGCCATCAGGTGTCCCTGTCACTCCATCTTGACTAGAAGCAGAAGGCTACCTTGTTCTTTGAAAGGATCTTTTACTCATATGTGCTTCTGGAACATCATCATTTGTCATTTGGAAAATACTGGTTCACTGAGTTATGCAGATCTTCCAAATGTTGACACATTTCATTATACATAATCAAAAAAGTCACATTTGTGAATGTCACCATTGATCTCATCAGACAAGTCTTTAGGTATCGGGAAGCTGTTTAGGTCTTGGTGGTAGACATAAGTGTTCCAAAATTCTAATTCTCACTTAAAAACTCATATTTTATCATTGGCAACAAATACTGCCAGTTTTTTTCCTTGAAGTGTCAGGCTTGTTTCATTTTCAAGAAAAAGTCTGCCAAATACCCAAATCTAGTAACTTTCATTTGTCTATTAGGTTTGTTTTTTAAGTAAAAATGGTATTTCATCAAAAAAGCAACTAATTCAGCTCTCAGTTCAAACAATTAACTATACAAGAGTTTTTTCTCAACAAACTATTATGCTTCAAAATGCAGCAGAAGAACGTCAAGTATATTTCCCACTTCAACACACAGAATATATTCTTTTTTTTTCTGAGTCAGAGTCTCATTCTGTCTGCCAGGCTGGAGTTCAGTAGCATGATCAATCACGGCTCACCAGAGCCTCAACCTCCTGGGCTCAGGTGATCTAACCACCTCTGCCTCCCAAATAGCTGGAACTACAGGCACATACCACCACACCTGGTTAAGTATTTTTATTTTTTGGAAGAGACCCTGTTGCCCAGGGTGATATCAAACTCCCAGTCTCAAGTGATCCTCCTGCCTCAGACTCACAAAGTGCTGGGATTATAGACGTGAGCCACTGTGCCCAGCCCATCAAGGACATTCTTAAGTGAAACTGGCCTTTTCTTTTCTTCCTACTTGAGCGCGTGCTGTGGTGAAGAATATGTTGACCACAGCACAGCTTGATTTGTGCTGGCCTCAACAGGTTGATTCACCTTTGCTTTTGTACCACTAGTACAAACAGGATCACAGTCAAAAGGCAAATAATATATTAGTGTAATTTTGAAGATAGTTTCAACCTTGCAAAAGCCTAAGAGGCTCAGAGACTTTCAGGTGTCCAAGGACCATATTTGAGAACTGCTGTTGTAAAAACACAAAAAGTCCTGTTCTATTCAACGCCATTCTATTTGTATGTGACCTCTTCCTTGACTTCCTATTTAATTATTTTATTATTACTTTAGACACAGAGTCTCGCTATATTGCCCAGATTAGAGTGCAGTGGCTATTCTGTACAATCATAGTACACTGCAGCCTTAAATTCCTGGTCTCAAGTGATCCTCCCCCTGCTGCCCCAGTAACCAGAACTAATTGCACCACCGAGCCTAGTGCCTGACTTCCTATTATAAAGAGTGGTTTAGGTCAGGCACAGTGGCTCATACCTGTAACCCCAGCACTTTGGGAGGCCGATGTAGGAGGACTGCATGAGTCCAAGAGTTCACATCAACCTAGGCAATGTAGCAAGACATCATTGCTAAAAAAAATTAACCAGTCATGTGGTGCATGCCTGTAGTCCCTATTACTCAGGAGGCTAAGACAGGAGGATCACTTGAACCCAGAAGTTGAAGGCTGTGGTGAGCTGTGATCATGTCACTGTATTCCAGCCTGAACACCAGAGTGAGAAATAGCCAATAAATAAATAAATACAGTTGTTCAAGCCTAAAACATACTTATTAATTCACCATATTAGGCCAGGTGCAGTGGCTCGTGCCTGTAACCCCAGCACTTTGGGAGGCGGAGGCAAGAGGATTGCCTGAGTCCGGGGGTTCAAGACCAGCCTGGGCAATGTGGCGAGACCTCATTTCTACAATAAATCAAAAAATTAGCCAGGCATGGTGGTGTGTGCCTGTGGTTCCAGTAACTCGGAAAGCTGAGGCGAAGGATCACCAGAGCCCAGCAGGTTGAGTTTGTGGTGGCTGTGCGCATGCCACTGAACTCTAGCCTGGGTCACAGGGTGAGACTTTAACTCAAAAAAAAAAAAAAAAGTCACCTTATTACCTAAAAATGGAAACCTTTTATATGAGAATTAAATGTAGCTACAGTCAAGTGACATTGATTTTGACATTTTCCATAGCTAAAATCAAACAATGGTATGCTTCAAGATTTTTAGCAAAACAAAACAGAATTAACCTTATTTGTAAGATATGCCCAGATTCCCAAAAGACTTAAAGAGGTTAGTCTTTCCTGGACTAGTCTGTAACTGGCATTTTACTTCCAGTGGAAACCTCTGAAATGTCACTTAGGGCAAAAGGAATACAATGGCAAAGCTCTTCTCAAGAGCTAATGATCCCACGGCCTTACTAACTCCAGTGGTGACTCTCTGTACCCTGGTACATGACTGACCCGCTGGCAGGATCTGACACAACTGGATCACCCTTCGGTCCTCGAACCGCTTTCTTCCTATGGCTCCCAGGACCCCAGATCTGCCGGGTCCTTCTGCCTCTGGGCTGCTCTCCCAAGCCCTCTCGGTTGACCTCACCCCCCTCCCCAACCTCTAGCCATCAGATGGTCCCACAGCTCAGCCTAACACCTCTCCACTTGGTTATCTCATCCTGTCTCAGGCTTTAAGTACCATCTGTTTGCTGACAAACCCAAATTGGTGTGTCCAAGAGGCCTTGAACTTCAGACCATCAGATCTACCAGCCTATTAACAAAACTGAGCTTCTGATATTCCCCCCAAACCTGTTGCTGAGCCCTCCCCACCTCAGTTCATGACAACACCTTCCAGCCACTGGCACAGACCAACACTTGGACTTACTCTTACTTCTTTCCTGCTCACACCCACACTCAATCTGTCAAAAACCCTGTTGAGTCTATCTTTAAAACATTCCAAGTTCATTCACATCTTACCACTTCTGTCATCCCTGGGTCCAAAGTACCATGGTCTCTTACCTGGATCACTGCTTTTTCTGCTTCTGCCCTTTGCTCCCTTCAATCTGCTCTCTAAATTCAACAGAGTAATTTTTTTTAATTATATAAATCAGATT